GAGACTTCACAGTATCTAGAATTTGTTTTAAACTGACACTTTCTAAATTTGGACCATAGATGGCACTAAAGGATTAAGGAATGTAACCATGTTTGTAATTCTCTGTTGGAAGGGATCTTGAATGGACATCCCAGCCACCGTCTTTCATAGCAGATAAACTATAAACAGTTTTAGAAAAACAGTCCTTTCTGTCTTTAACATATATAAATCATCTTGGTCACCCATTCTAAACTTATACTTTTAGTTTTAATGGACTGTTGTACTCGTAATTCTGTAACAATGTAAGCTTATTGGAATTTATCTTGTCTTCTATGCCAGTGGTCCCCAACCTTTATGGCACCAGGGACCAGTTTCATGGAAGACAATTTTTCCACAAACCAGGGAGTGGGATGCGGGGTTGGGTGGCGGGGGTAATTTCAGAATGATTCAAGCTCATTACATTTATTGTGCATTTTATTTCTATTATTATTATGTTGTAACATATAATGAAATTATTATACAAGCCATAATGTAGAATCAGTCGGAGCCCCGAGCTTGCTTTCCTGCAACTACACGGTCCCATCTGTGAGTGATGAGAGACAGTGATAGGTCATCAGGCATTAGATTCTCATAAGGCGTGTGCAACCTAGATCCCTTGCATGTGCAGTTCACAATAGGGTTCCTGCTCCTATGAGAAGCTAATGCTGCCACTGATCTGACAGGAGGGAGAGCTCAGGTGGTAATGCCAGTGATGGGGAGCAGCCGTAAATACAGATGAAGCTTTACTCACTGGCCTGCTGCTCACCTCCTGCTGTGCAGCCCAGTTCCTAACACACTGGTCCGTGGCCCAGGGTTTGGGAACCCCTGTTCTAGGCTGTGGAGTATACTTCACTATGTCATTTGAAATTTCCTTACAATACCAGTTGTCTTACACTAAACCTTGCCACCTTTCATTCTTCTGCTTCTAAAACTTTCTCTTTTTAAAGAAGGAAACATATAGGTCATAAGTCAGAAAGGCAAAGAACTCTCATGATCTGATTATAATAAACTTAGCACTGTAAAACTCTGGATATGAATTTACGCGACATACTTAACTTGCTAAGTTGTACAGTGACTTTCTAGCTTTGCAGTGTGAAAATTGCATTTTAAACAAACTATATAGATATCAGGCTGATGTGTCCTGGTAGTGATGGTTTTGAATGTCACCACTGTCCACTGTTTTTACCATCAGTCCTTAGGAGTTGCTTTGGTGACTTCTTACCCAACGTTTCTAGATTTCAATAGTCTAACGACTGAGAAGTAAACAGGCTGGCAGGGAGTCAACTTTTCTTGGAAGACCAAATGGCCCCTGCTGGTGTAGATGTAACTTAGATTAAGAACTACCTGTCTTAACTTAGCTTTCCCTCTGTAACCTCCTTCAGAGATGACAGTAGAACATGTGTTCACTTATTATCTATTTATGGCTGAGAGACAGGAAAGGGAGGGAAGAAATGGGAGCATTCATGTTTGTGTCTTTTCAAAGATAGATTTAAAATGCTAATGTTTACAGCTTGCCACTTACAATAAAAATGCATTAGATGCAGAGGACATGAGAATTGAATCTACCTGTTAAAACCGGTTTACTGGCCGGGCATGGTGGCTCAAGCCTGTAATCCCAGCACTTCGGGAGGCCGAGGTGGGCGGATCACGAGGTCAGGAGATCGAGACCATCCTGGCTAACACGATGAAACCCCGTCTCTACTAAAAGTACAAAAAATTAGCCGGGCGTGGTGGCGGGCACCTGTAGTCCCAGCTACTCGGGAGGCTGAGGCAGAAGAATAGCGTAAACCCGGGAGGCGGAGCTTGAAGTAAGCTGAGATCGGGCCACTGCACTCCAGCCTGGGCGACAGAGCAAGACTCTGTCTCAAAAAAGAAAAAAAAAAAAAAAGAAACCAAAAAACAAAACAAAACAAAAAACGGTTTACTTTAGTTAAAACAAGTAGCCATTGCTTCAGAAACCTTTCAGAGCCACAACACACACACACACGCGCGCGCACACACACCCCTCCTTGATCTAGGCCTTTTTGTTTCTGTATAAATAAAGGTCTCACTTCTGTGGAGCAGCAAGGTATTAGAGATAGGAAGTGAAATTATAGGTACCCCGTTCTAGAAATGTAAAGAATACCACCTCATCTTTCTCTCTCTGCAGATAAAAAAAGTTTGCAGTCGACCTTACTGCAATGGAAACATTGCCTGATAATACATAAATATGTATGTAGATGTTTCTACATATAAATAAATATATATATGAATGTACATTAAATAAGTATTAAGAGAGACATACTCATTTTGATTCTAGCTTATTATTCTGAAAAAAATGGAATTGTTTTCCTAGCATTCTTATGCAAAGTGGAAGCCACCTGAACACTGAACAAATGAAATAGCTGATGTTCTGCAACGTTTAACTCCAGAGAGCTTGGAAGCTTTAGCTGGGAACTTTATATGTAGACACACAGCTTCATGAAGCCTCCAGTGTGATTCCACAAAGCAGCCCTTGCTGAAGTTGTCTGGGAGAGAGCAGAGAGTGATACAGACATTTACTCATTAGTTGATGACATTGGAGGGGATTCCTAATGTCTCTCAACATCAGTTTCTTCATCTACAAAGTAGGGATAATGCATCATAGCATTATTCTGAAAGCTAAGGTAGAATATATTTTAGGCATCTGGCAGAGTTTGACATATATTGCACACCAAATTACAACAATAAATTAATTAAGTGCATCCTTGAAAAACCTCTGCCTCAGGTTAGTCTTTTGCTTTCCAATTCAATGTGTTTCAATTCAATTCAATTTCAATTCAATCCAATCACATAGACTTTTAGCCATAAGAAGCAAGACCCACCAAATACTTCATATCTTTCACCAACCGTTCTGATTAACCTGGCAGTTGCCATGGTAACATTAGCCCAGTCCTCTCTTTGTTATGGAGGCTCCTTTATTCTAGGATTCACTCTTTTTCCTGCTGGACTGCAGGTGAAATAGCCACAATATTAAAGCCAAATCATTATACATTTTCATGAAAAAGTAAATTCTGGATTTTGGTGATAGAATTTTGTTTTAAATCTCTACAGTCGGTCTCTGAATCTTGATGTCCTTCCGTTTTGGCCACAGTTCCTCTCAGGTGGTCAGACCACACAGTTCAGATTCCTGTATTTGGAGAGCCGTGGGCCATGATCAGAGTCACTACCCAACACGAAAATCACCTATTTACACTTCCAGATTTTCACCTTTCAGGGATTCAGTTTAGGGGAAAGGAGAAAGGAAATTAAAGGCAGGAAAATATGGAATACAACAAGGAGAAATGAAATCAGAACAAAAAAAGGAAAATCAGGAAGAAAGGGCCAAGAAAAATTGAAAGAAAGAAAATGAGAGTAAATGAAAGGGAAGAGATAAGTGGTCTACATACTTGAGTAATTACAGAACAGTTTTACACAAATGGAATTTCAATTAAGATGTGTGATTTAGAATGTTAAGTTCTCCTTAAGCAGCTTTTTGTGCTTTATTTTATTATTGTAAAAAAATCTATGAAGCAGTACAAATATCTGTAAAGCAAAAAAGAAAAAAATATTAAGCCTCTGCACCCACTATTCCTTTCTTCTTCTCAGAGATTGCTACTAAATATTTTCTCTATATACACAAATACATAGAATTAGTATTGATTCATATGATTATATCACATGTGAATCATACCAAAAAATGGACTGTGACATATTGTTTTTCAATTAATAAGATATGCAGAACTTTTCTCCGTGTTATTATATTTAGATTTATCTCATTCTTTTTAATGCTACAATGTCCTGTTAGTTTTACTAGTATTTAACTCACCCCCTGCTGATAGGTACTTAGATTTCTTGTTCCTTTTCTTTAAACAGATCATTTGAAAACAAGAAAACCTGAAAACACTACTGGAAAAAGTTTGGACATTTTATTGACATTGTAAGTATTTGCAACTATTACACTGTGTGTAATTACTTGATAGTGCCTACACTAAGTGGTGCTGCATAAAGATGATAAGAGTACACAAGTGAGATGCCATGCTGAGTTCTCAAATGAGGAAACAAATTTTCTTTTATGTCTACTTATTAGTTCAGTTATTTAAGCAAAGGCAACAGCTTGGTGAAAAGATTTGGACTTTATAATATCTGTCCGCCAAGGAGTTATAGATATGTATGGTAAATTAATAAAAGCATGGGCCATAAAACTGAAAGGAATCCTAGAGTTTATTTGGTCCTTCTCTCTCACATTACAGATTAGACAACTGGGACTGGGCACAAATAGTGTTTGGTTTTACCTCAACACTACTGCATCAGCACTACATACACAGTACTAGTTTGCTAATATCATTTCTATTTGTGTAACCTAGTTACTAAATGGTATCTCATTTATTTTAAATTGTTTGATCTTTCCCACCTAACAGGGGAAAGCAGATGTGTGTCCAGGGCTCCAGCTGGGTTTTGTAGGCAGGATTATAGGATCATGAAAGAATCTTGGGCACTTCTGGGGAGGCTGCACAGTAGATATGACATCAGCACGGTTAGCCTTGAAGAGCAAACAAGAATATTCCAGATGGACAAGGAGGCAAATGAGAGCTTTCCATGTATGGTCCTGATATAATCTATTGGGACACTTTTGAAAGCAGAAGGTTTGAAATAGATGTATTTTAAGTGTGTGTGTTGGAACAGTGGGGATTTTCCTTGATGGCATGAGAAACGAGGTCAAGGTCAGAAGTTGTTAGACACAAATGAAATCAACAAATGTATGTATCTATTAACACCTAATTATGACTGCCTGGCAGGTCAGCCTCTAAGAATAAGGGCTTGTTTGAAAGTAAGAATCAGGATTTGCAGTTGGTAGATTTCTTAATGTGCAAAATCATATAGTTAAAAATTAAATTTCATTGAAATATTTCAGTAAATATATGTTAATTAACCTAATAAAATTTCACTAAAACAGAACTGTCTAAGAAAATGGTTTTAGGTGGTCATTGTAGACATGAGAATCTTCCTGATCTGGAACCAGAATATATAGGGTCACCCACCCTTCTTAAAAGATATTTATGGACATACAACAATAAAATTCATATTCAATTTTTCTCTTTAAAGTTTATTTCCAAGTTCACCTTTTGCTTCTTTAACTGCTGTTTCTTAACCTTCCCTGGCATCTTCATAATGGCGATGGCATCTCCTGAAGTTGGTGTTTCCAAGGGCATTTCCCCCTTTATTTGCTTTCTATCTCACTTCTGACGTCCACTTCCACCTGTTCCTCATTCCATACAAAATTCAATTTTAATCAGATATTCATTGTTTTTCCAACTACTCACATGCTTCGGAAGGTGTTGTCTTCCCTACCATATCCAGGGAAGTAAATTCTGAGTATTGTTTCAATCAAGGTAATCCCACTCCTCTTGCCAATAATTCCTTTAGGGAAGGGCATGTAGCATGTATGGTCAAGGAAACACTACTGGAATTCTAGTAGAGGCTTCTGGGAAAGTTTTCCTCACACCCAAGGAAGTAGCACATGAAGTGGCTTTTTCCATTTTCTGGATGGTGCGGCATGTTTATATCACTTCTGGAATTGCTACATCCATCCTGTAACCATGAGAGAAGAGTAGAAGATGAAAAAGAACTTGGGTTCTTGATGACATTGTTGAGTCATTAAATTAACCAATCCTGGGAATTTACCTGACCTTTGAACTTCTGTCATTTGAGACAATAAATTATTCATTCAGTCCTTTTAATCTGAGTTTTTTGTTATTCTCTGTCAAAGGCATTGTGATATGTGGTCCAAATTTATTTGTTAAACCCAAACCTCTCCCTGAATGTCCCTCTTGGATATACAACTGTCTATCGGACATTTCTATTTGTAATCCTAAACTAATCCTAACCTTACCTAGTTCTGAACCCATCACTTCCCCCCTTTTAAACCTATTGTTTCACAAGCACTTCCCATCTTGTGTGATGGCATCATCAAGCTCTCAAGACAGAAACACAAGTGTTCTTTATGACTCTTACCTGTATTTGATGTCCCATATCCAATAACTGGGTCTCTACTACAAGTTTTATCTCTAAGACTTCCACCCTATAGTCCATCCAGCGCTACATCCTCATCTTGATGATAGTAATATCTTCCCTAATTATTTATCTAGTCTCAGCTTCATCCTATAAAATCCATTTCCAAGTTTATGTAGAGTGATCTATTCGAAACAGAAATCTGATATGATTGCTCACCTGCTCTGATGTCTCATTACTTAGAGAATAAATCCAAGTTTCTTAACTGAACACTCAGGTTCATGCATGATCTGACCTTTGTCCATGTACTCTTATTCATTCATTTTATCCTCAAATATTTCTTGATTGCTGAGATATGATAATCATTGGGAATATAGGCAGATGTTATTCCCTGCCTTCCCTGACTTTGGGAGCTTACAGTCTAGCGAGGAAGATAGACACTAGGCAAATGATCACCCTCGTGATGAGTGTAATGGGGAAGTACAGTATACTAGCTTCTTCTCTCATCAGTACTTGCCTTGACCATTCCCTGTCTTATTCTCTCATTATTACTGCACTGCTTACAGTTCTTCACATAGACCAGGCTGTTTCTTGCCTCTATGCCTTTGCCCAAGCAGTTATCTCTGCCTGAAATGCTTTCCTCACATTTCTTCACTTGGCTAACTCCTTCTCGTCCTTTGAGATTCAGCTCAGCTTCTTCCGGGAAGCCTTCTTTGAATACCCTAGACTCAATTTGATGCCCTCATCTAAGCTTCCATAGTATGCTTTCTGTTCTTCTTTCTTAATGGTGTATCATGTTGCATTTAGTAACTACTAGTATTATTATTAAATTTATTGTATCTCCTTCTTTGACAAGACTGCAAGCTCTTAGAAGATAAAGACTGAGTTATATTTATTTATTCTCTATCTTATGGCACATGAAATATAGTTAACAAGAGTTTATTAAACATAACAGAAATTTCTAATGAGATTTCAACTTCTCAAGGATTGGGCATGTTTTATAATTTTACTAAGTATACCCTCTTGGGTCATTCACGTTTTTTGTTTTGCGTGACTATACTTGTCATACTCATTCCTCATATATTACAAATCTTACTCAATGTTAGCTCTTGGAATGCCCTTTCCTCTAAAGTTGGTGTGTTCCTTTCACCCACCAAAACCCAATATGCTGTAAGAATGCTTATTGGATGCTGCCAAAAGGAATTAATCACTCCTTCTTCTGTGGTGTCTCTGCATTTTTACACACTTCTACTATTGCATTTAGAACACAGTATTATAATAAGCTCTTTACATGCTTAGTTCACAGTATAATTATAGTAGCATGGTAAGGGTTTCAATACAGGTGTAATGAGAGAATTGCAGAGGACCTGACCTGCTTGGAGAATGTCACTTTTGGGAAAATCAAAGCAGGGTGGAGGTTGCCTATTTCAGCCTCTTCATGTTTTGATGGGGAAACCGAGGGCCTGAAAGTCTGAGTCAGTTTCCTCCTCTGTAAAATGTCTAGTTATCTGTGAACTGTGAATCAGAAAATATGAATTATTTTACACATAATGAGAATCAAATTGTATATAATCCCACTCTGTGACTCTCTGGTTTCTGAAGGACAAACATTTTGGTAGAGTCTCAGTGAACTGCAAGGAAAAATAGCTCCCAAAGTTAAATTTAAGTTTCTCTGGGAGACAAATTCAAAGAAACTTGGTTATTGAAAATACAGTAATGTATTTGCCTTCTATAGATGGTGTCTTTATTAAATACAAAGAGGGCAGGCAATTCAGCTCAGTACAATTTAAAAAACTGTGCATTGTCTGTGTTCTAAAGTGTGTGTGCTGGGATGAATGTGATGAGACTCATTGATTGATCTCCAAAGACTCAGAGGCTCAGAGAGCTTCTGTCTTAAACCTAAGGTGGGATTCTGCTGGGGATTTTCACAAGTGTGAAAACATTCTCCCAGTTTATGCCCTATTGATGGCAAGCAATTGAGCTGTCATCTTCCCTAGGAGCATATACAAATGAGAAAATTCTTGGCCAAGAATCAACAAACAAGTAAATAAACTCTGCTGGGAGCTCAATAATACTTGAAACTAATGAAGTTCCCAAGGTAAGGCTGACAAGACACATTTGTGTTTGCTCCATTCCAGGGTGCCATGCCCAGAGAAATCATTGGTGCATTGGAATAGACCTTGGACTTGGAGCCAGAGATGTAGTTCGGAAATCAGCTCTGCCATTCATTGGTTTAGTGACTTTAGGAAAGTCGTTCAACTCCCAGAGTTTTGGTTTCTCCATCTGTAAAGTGGGTATACTGGTTCTAGCTCACAGGGTTCTTGTGAAGATCAAAATAAGTCATGGATGTGAAAGTTGAATAAACTTCAAGCTTAATATGGTAATCACAATAAACAGTGTATCTAGGAGATGAGAAAGAAGGAAAGTAACACTGTTAAATCCAAATGCTGTGTCTGATTTCTGTGTCGATGAGGAAGATAGTTTTGCTTTCCTATTTCTTTGTGAAACTAAAACATCTATATTAATGTATATTTGAACACGAACTTTAGCGGACTATGTAGGAATGATATAGGAATATGCATGGTTATATATAGCAAGGAAGAAGCAGAAAATAACTTTTAAAAAATAAATTTTAAGTAAAATATAGGGAAATAGCCACCTATATGCTAAGTAATGTGTTATCACTCAATTTTTATTATTTTAAGAACACTTTTCCATGTACATGCTCTAGTGGAACTGAAGGATCATATGAACCTTGATGTCTGAGACTATATTGCAGTTTAACTGAAATTGTTTTATTAACATGGAAGGACACGTCAGAAAACCAAGGAAAACTATATTTTAGTAGTAGGTATTTTAATTTTTTGTATAAAAGTCTATCAGTAGGATATACTCTTTAAAAATAATAAGCATCAGGAATTTGATTCTATTCCAAGTTAGAAGTGGTAATATAAAGTTAAAAACTAACACTAGCTACGATTCTGTTTAGTAATGAGGAAAGAACTTTAGGCTGGCTTTTAAAGATTAATTTGTTAATTAGGTGAACATCTGGGTTTTGGTTCATCACTTCCCTTGGAAACCTTGATTAATTTATGAAACTTTCATCCTCATTTACTAAAAAAGCAGTGAGTCATCCGGTGTTACACACCAATGACAGCAAAAGTTAATTGGATTCTAGATCCTTTCACATTTCTGCTTTCAGCAATTCCTTGCCACTTTGAGTGGAACCATGCGCTAAAGGAGTCCGTGTATTTTTGTGTGTGAGCGAGAGATAGAGAAATGAGAGGAATTACAAGTAATTGAAAAGTGAGTTTGAAAAAATAAGAATATATGTTTGTATTTTCCTTGGTTTGTGGTGAGAAACTCTGGAGGTATACACAAAATAGCCAAACCAAACCCCAAAACTAACAAACACAGTTACCTCAGTGCATGGTTTTGTTTTGTTTTTTTCTAAATAGAGTTTTGATTTGTGAATCGTGTGAATGTACTATTGTCTTTTCAGAAAGGGCTGTTGAAGATTGTCTGTGGATTAAAGTGTTTCAGAATTGGGTTTAGGAAGGGGAAGACAGAGACATAGCTGCAGTTCATTGTAGTTAGTGTCTGGCCTCCAAATAAGAGATGCATCAGCAAAGAGAACACCCCCAAGGAAGGAGCGGGGGCACAAGACTGAGAAAGAAAGGGAGAGATGGATGGAGCTGCGGTGGATGGCTGACTTACTTTCTTCTGGCCCTGCAATAGGATTGCAACCTTTTTTTTGGCTCTGCTACTTACAAATTGCATTCAGCTTAGAAATCCCTCTTTAGATATATACCTGTATATGGCACATGATCTTGGTTGTGGGAAACAATACTCACAGATGAAGGGGACCTCATCACACTGGTTCTTAATCTCTTACTGCTTTTGCTTTGCCTCTCGTTGTTCCTTCATCCTGTTTTCCTTATCAACTTTACTTTTTGGGCATATTTTATCTTGTGATTTTATGCATTTATATGAGCTACCATGAATCTTTTCTGGAAATGGAAGGAGCATGAATGAATATGTACATAACTAATCTGGGGGAAATGCTAACAGAGGAGTAAGAATACAAGTGATTTTAATTGTTTTATGGTGAGTCTTCTGCATTTCCAAGTATACATATATTTTTACAAGGGGCATGAATTTCTTTTCTAATCAGATATAGTAGTTTTTTTTTTTTTTTTTTTTTTTTAACTAAATGTAGACAATAGTTGTGGTAGACCTGATGGACTTTTCCAACAGAACAATATATAAGGGTAGTAGAGAGAGGACCAGAAAGGAGTCGTGGGACTAAAGTCTTAATTTTCTTTTCAGCATGTGCTTCTATGAAAATGCAGGAGGGGCAATGTACCCACAGTGGCTTGCTTAAAACTTTTAAAAAACAAATTCTATTTTTAGGACTTCTTTTCTTCTATTTAAAATGACAGGCCATTAGAGAGCAAGATGTTTATTTTTATAATTCCCTATAATCTAGACTTGATTGCACATTGGGAAGTAAGGATTAAAAAAACCAATATCTACAATTCGATTTTTGTGTAATATTTTTACTCTATAAGACAAAGAATTAAGACCACATAAAAGCAAAAACAGAATAATTTATTTGAATCCATCTTTCCTTGAAAAAAATAAAAATAAGACTTTAATAGTCATTTCCTTAAGTGTGTACAAATCTTCTCAAAAATACTACTGGTGATTGAAAAAAAAGAGAAAGCATAGTTTTGTTTTTGTGACAACCATCCTTATTACTTTGTTGTACAAATAACAAGATAGAAATTTGGAAATAAAATTGAAACATAAATTTAGGATTCCTAACACTAATAAAAATTTAATGAAACAAAGTCTGCTGAAAAATCTAACAATGTAAAGTTTCCACATTTGTAGGTGAGACAGGATAGTCTCAGTGTTGATGACAGTGGAAGTATAGAGTGGAACTAATTGAGCTTTGCAGAGATATTTTGTACAAAACGAAAGAGGAAACCCCTGTCATTTTCATTCTCCTCATCGGCATGAGAAAGACTGCCCACTGAGGAATATTTCCCCAACATGTTTTTCTGTTGCACAAGACAATGTGTATATGCTGAAAAACCTGCAGTTCAATTTGCATAAATGCCTCTATTCTGCATGTAAAGGAGTAATGAGTAAGATGTGTTGGTCTCGGTTTCTTCACTGATTCCAGATTAATATACTTTTCCACTGTTTTTCCTTAAAATATTTCTTCAGAATTTCACTCTAATGTGCTGTTTAGCCCATGAGAGTTCACCTAGTGAAGAGATATACAAAATATGTAAACAGTTCTATAGATTTTTCAGGTCTGCAGGTAAAAGAACCTTAAATTCTTTTATTCCTTTCCAAGGCTACAAGTTAGATCAATATTTTGAGCTAGCTCAAGAAAATTACATTTATCAACAAATAAATATAAGAGAAGGCAATTACTAAATTTTGTAGGTAATTTACTTTTGAAACTAAGGTTTACTTAACTTGAATATCCTGTTTTCAATATACTAACATCAGTCTTGGGTTCAATATAAACCCTACCAAGAGCATTTAATGAGGTCAATAGACAATATTGAAATACATCCAGCCGTAAGTTCAATAAATAAATAATTGGGCTGAGTACTAGAATATGAACACAAACCGGTTTACCAATTTGTTAAACAGCAGTCCAATTAGTTAATAGACACATGAAGTAAAGAAAATAACATTGTTAGAACAGTCTAAGAGCCAAAGAATAAAATTGTTTGGCTGTCTTTCCTGCTCAGAAGTGACTGCCAAATAAAAGAAAGCAGTGAAGTTAAGATTCTTTCCCCAGAGCTGGCACATTCACATTGGGAATAAGAGATGGGAGAGTTTCACCAACCACCTACAATAATGCATTACTCATGAAGTTGATCTTTGAATTTAATTGGACCTAGAGGAGAATAAACCATAGGTAATCAGGAAAGAAAAATGCTCTCTGCATTTATAGGTGGCATTTATGCTACTGAGAATTATTTATTTTACTAAGAATCACTCATCTTTAGTTAAGTAAACAGCAGCCCACTAAACTATGAAATCTTTAAAAAATTGTCTTATTTAATGTCTTGCTCTAGCACATAGTAAACGTCCTGGAAATGTTTGTGAATTGATTATAAGTAAAATAAGTACAAACTAGTTTCTGATAAGGAAAAAGGAAGCATTTCGTTTATTTATTTAAAAAATTAGAGTAAGTAACACAAATCTGAATTCGAATAAAATAACACTTTAAAAAATATTGGCTCCTCATTTAGATAAAGTTAGAAGACAGAGTAGGAAAATTTTAAGAAGGATATTACGGATAAGGGAGACAGTTATGGAGAAAGAGAAGAAAAGAGAAGGGTAGACTCAGAAAAGGAGGGATTCAAAGGATGAAGGTAAAGGAAGAGAGAGCCACTGGAAGACAAAGACGTACGCAGATAAACTAACAAACACACAAAAAAAGACTGAGAAGACAAGAAGAAGGTGAGACGAGAGAGTCTGTGGGAGGTGGAGATGTCACTCAGATTGGGCTGGTAGCATGAACTGGGGTCTTGAGGGTGACTGCCTTTTGGAGGAGCATGTCCTAATAGCAGTTTTGAATACCTTTTGAATAGCAGTTTTGAATGCCTGAAAAAGAACATTTCTGCTTTGTTTTCAGTTCTCAAATCTTATTTATGAAATAAACTTTTATGTTCTTAAGAAAGTCAAAAGATTTTGCTAGTGTCTAAAAGTCATCTAATTTCAAAGGATTTTTTTTTTTTTTTGAGAATCAGTTTTTTTGACATGGAAAACAACCCAATCACTATTTTGTGTTCTGAAATTGTAGCTGCCATGTTCACAATTTTGACTTCAAATTTATTTCGTTCTTGAGAACCTTAAAAGATAAACCCCAAGTTGTCATTTGGTTTGTTTACATTCTAATGTGAAAAATTGATGGTTAGAAGAAAGGATATATAGAAAAACAAATGAATTTAAATAGGATACAAATTTTAATTAGATTAAATCTTAGAAAGGAGACATAATCTCAAAATTCTTTCAATGCCTTATATTTAACAGCAAACAAACTTCCCCTAGTTTTCTATTATAGACAGTAAAGAGAATTAGGTATCATTTTAGAGAGTTTTTATTCTTAAAATATCATGTAATAATATCCTACTCTTGTGTCCTACTAGATTAATAATGCAATGTTTTACAACATTTTTTTCAAACTAGAAGTTTCTAGCTCCATCAGAGTCTGTTCCTTATTCATGTGACTCTAGGTAAATTTTCTCTGATGAGGTTCTCTGAAGTATGTTGTCACTTATTTAGACCTTAAATGATGCACAGTCCCCCTAGGACTAGGTTTCCTCCCCATAAGATAATTTCCCATGGATTTGTTCACTCCTAGCTGCTATTTTTGGTATTTACCCAGAAGTGTGCATGAATTACTTTGCTGAAACTGTTTCTTTTGCCAGAGGGGAAGTTTCTGTATGTGGTTATTGATGTTCTTTTCAAAGTCAATAAATGACAAAGAAAGGATGGAAGATGATCTGTGGCAGTTATGCCTGCAGGCAGCTACAGCCCACAAAAAAGAGTTCATCTTATTATTTCAAAAGGTTGTAGGCTTTATTTCTCCATGGCAGGGAGGAAAGAGAAACTTCTTAGTGACAGCCTTGAGCTTAACTGGATAAATAGGTTCCCAGCTTTGTCCTCAGCACAGGTTTTTCCTCTATGGGTGAGAGGCCAGTCCTCAATGGGGTTCCGCTCACTTGGGAATAGGCTACTTTGAATAAGAGGATGGACATTGGTGCTGACTGTGCTGTGGATCCTCTGCTTTTATTTTACTGGTCCTATTTTTAGTGACAAATCATCATGGCTCTAAAACTACCATAGCCATTGGAAAATCATTAAGTAATCATTAAGATGGCTACAGAATTGGCATGAATATTCCTTTCATACCCAGATGTGGATTCCTTGGGGAAATATTGTGAGAAAGAAATGTACACAAGAAAAAGTTGATTCTAGAGTTTTGTATCTAGTCCACTGGCCCAAGTGCATGGCCCTAGAAGATACTTGTGTGCTTGCCTGTTTTGTTTCTCAAAATTATGTTCAGGTGGGGAAGTATGCTTAAATGTACAGATGCTGTAATTTCTTGTTTTGGTATTTTTCTTCTGTGCCTTTTAATCAATTCTGGGGAAAGCAAAAGCTAAATGCTTAGCCTCTCCATAGCACCATCAAATGCAGATTCATACTTACTCTGGCTGGTCTTGCTGCTGGGCAGGGATGTGCTGAATAACTTCATATATTGTACTGTGCAAATCTTGTCCCGATATACCATCAGAGACTGGAACAGATCTGCTTGGGATCTAGAAAATGTGGCACATTAAAAATAAAATATCTCAATACTAGTAAATAGTTTTTCCACTATGCTGCATAGTTGAAAACAACTGGCAGTAGTGATGATTAGAGAATTAGAACTATTTATCTTCCCTAGAAGGCTGACATCCTCCTTGCTACACTTTACTGCACTTACCCTATGGCAGTTTATGCAGCAGCATAGCTATAAGGTCAGAAGAAGGATAGCTTGACAAAGCTCTGGCTTTTTTCTTCATTTAAGAAGAAAGGTGGCAGTGCTGGAAAGGAAATATTATAGAAAGAAAAGAAATAGCAAAAGAGAAGATGTCAGGACATCTTAGAATCAGCACATATTATTATCTTTTCTATACCGCAGTTACCCTTTTGACACTATTTGCCAATTATGTGCACAAGGGTGGCTTAAAAGCAAGAACAATATACAGCCCAATTGAGGTTCTCCCAGTAAAACTCCAAAATTGAGTAGTGTTTAATCACATGGTAAGACTTAAAATTTCTTATATAAATTTCACTCCTTTCCAGTGAATTCCTAGGAATAAAAAGTGTGTATTATTTTACATAAAAAAAACTGAAACTCCTTATTCAAAAATTCAATTATAAATTTTAGCTGTTCAGTTTCCTGCTTTCCAATTCGAAGCCACACCTCAGAGTGGTGCTTTCTGCCATCGTGAGAAGCTGTTTGAAATAACTGATCCATCAAATATTTGTTTTTGTCTTTCGGTTGTGGAAGTGAAGGTGAGCCAATCCTGCCTGAGATTGAATAGGGTATTGCAAAGCCTTTGCAGGGCAGTTCTTCCCTTCATCTGTGACTGTTACCGACTCACCCTTAGGGAGGATGAAATCCAATCAGTCCCTCTCCATTACTCACATGACATTTCTCAAATAAAGTCTGTGGTCAGGAGGCTTACTGGATGAACCTTATACATTGACAGAATCCTCTGAACAAGAGAAGTCACCATTCCCTAATGGCAAATAGTCCTTTTAACAAACGGAAATGAGAATGACTGGAAGCAAGTAATCTGTTTTTATGGTGCCCTTCCTTAAATGGACTCTCATAGCAGAATAAGGAAGCAGAGGAAAATTTGGTTCTATACAAATCTGTAAAAGTGTTAATAATCTGATTTGCTCAGAGAAACATTCTGCATGTCTTAAGCAAAACTGATTGCTTTAAAAAACTTTTTTTTTTTTCCCCCCGGACTGAAATGACTTCAACTATAAGAAAGCTCCCTTGCCATCTCATGCACCTTTAGGGCAATAATAAAGATGTATACTTATATACTTTGGGCCTATATGGTAACTTCCTTCTGAAGCATGAGGTATCTTTAAGAGTGTGATCAATTGTCTTTCAAAGTTGTCAAAAGATATGAGGGGGCAATAAAGGGAAAACTGAGGAACAGAGATAGTTCAGTAAAGTGATGGGTTGCAGTCACCCAAGTGATGCAGAATGACTTAAATCAGGGTCTCCTGATCCTCTGTTTATTCAGTATTTATTTATTTGAGACAGGGTCTCACTCTGTTGTCCAGGCTAGAGTGTGGTAGTGTGATCACAGCTCACTGTAGCCTTGAACTCCTGGGCTCAGTGATCCTCCTGCTTTGGTCTCCCGAGAAGCTGGGACCAGAGGCATGTGCAACCATGCTTGGCTAATTTTAAAGTATTTGTTGGGATGGGGTCTCTGCCCAGGCCGATGTCAAACTCCTGGGCTCAAGTGATCCTTCCATCTCGGCCTCCCAAAGCCCTAGGATTACAGATGTGAGCCACCGTGCCCAGCCTATTTATTCAGTTCTCCTGACTTTCAACCCAGTTAGTTCTCTCTTCACTGAGATTACCAGGTAAAGACTATTTATGAATTAGCATAACTTCCTTATTTGTGTTAGCTTTACTTATAAAGGTGAAGTAAGATGCTTTAGCTCCCCAAATCTGGCAATGCCATTCATTATGGAGTAAGTCAACACTGCTTAATGCAGTAATGGGTAACGCAGCCATTTGACCACACTGCCCAGTGCTTAAACGAATGCTGCTTACACCTCTGGTGAAGCAGAATTCTACTTCTTGGTTAATCAGCCACTAGGAAAACCAACCCTGGAAACACCAGAAGCATCTGGAAAAGCAACAAATTCATATATTCCGAAGTCATCCAGAGCATCTTCATGGCCTGAAATATAAAACAAATACTACTTACAAACCAAATGCCTTAATTTGCTGTTGTTTTTTTAAAACTTTGTAAAACTTATCTTTATTTTCTGCTTTAAATGGTATAGGTACAAAATGAATTTAACATTTCCTAATCCCTATAGTTGTATTGCCATTAAGCAGTGTTGGAAATCACTCTTTCTGAAGCTGAGAATCGAAACTGAATTGGAACAATTATTCTTAAGGCCAGATGTGAGAATAGCCTGTTGTATCTTTAAATACACATAGGTGGGCAAGCTTGGCCTTTGTAACTCTCAGTTACCAGAGACTCATGGTCACCAGGGCTTTAGCCTGAACGTCACAGCAGCTCTTGATCCACCCATAGTATCTACTGCACCCCGTTAGATCTAACAGAGACCATCAGAACTAAACAGAGCAAATAACTAACTGAAGCTTCCCATACATAAAAGGCAAAATACATTACAATATCAATCCACATAAACTATCGTCTACACAATGATGGGGGTAGAGGTGGTTAGGAGGAACGAGACAGCCTCTGGGGCCCTTGCCAGCTCTGACATTCTGTCATTTATAAGTCAGGAAGGGCTAGAAAAGAGGAAGAAGGCCCACATTTATTACACATCCAGGCATCATATCAGGCACTCCACCTCATTTTATTTAATTCTCATAGCAACTTTAAGGGGGAAGTTTTTATCCCTATTATTTAGAAGAGGAAGTTGTGGTCAAGAAAAATAATTTTCCTAAGGTCATATGAGGGGAAAGTGGCACATATAAAACTGCAAATTGGCTCCCTGTGACTCTGTGGCCTGAGCAAAAACTCCATTGTTAACTTATAATAAATAACTCAGTACAGTCAATATTGATGGTAATGAGGGTTACAATGGGGACGAAGAAGCAACCCTGGCCCCTGCCAAACCTTCTTTTCCTCTTCCCTTTGGGATGGAGCTGCCAGCATGAAACCTACCTTAGGAATGAACAAAGTGATAGAACGCTTTGGCATTTTCAAAATAATGATAATAGAATCAATGAAGTAGCAGAACTAACTTCATTGATCCTACTGACTGTGGGCAAGTGACTTAATCCCCTTCATGAGTAGTTCTCTTGACTATAAAATGGAGTTAAGAGTGCCTTCCAGGCTGATAATACAGACTTGTGTGACTTATATAAAACCAAAACAGAAGACAGCACTTTGTAAAGTGAAGGCACTAACTCAAAGGTAAGAGACTGTTATGTTAATTTTAGCTCATATTAATTATATTACATTAATAATATATAATAATATTAACACAACAAATTAACATACATTAAAACTGATAATAGCCCTTTTCAGCCTGGCCATTACCTGAAAATGTTTGAGCTTTCCTGTATTCTGTTTCTGGCCTGAAAAGACAAAATAGGTATTTTTGTCAGGGATAATAATTGAGGAAAAAGCATCTAAGGAAAGAACTATTTTCATAGAAACAGATGCATTACCTGCCTTCTAGTTTCTGTTTTATAACTAAAATCAAGAGAGAAGAAAAATGGTAAGGTTCCTTTTAGTACACATATACAGCTTCAATTTTTTTTTTTTTTTGTAATTTTAACCTACCTTTGTAGGGTTGATATTTTTTCCATAGGAAGAGAAGACACATGGATATAATCAAAAATAGTGATATTCCAGTTATACTTGCTAAAGGTGACAATGATTTTCCTTTTTGTGCAAGCTTCTCCAGTCCTAAATAAAAAGATAAATATATTTTTAGCAATAAATTGCTACAGTTTATAACTTGACTTTTTAAATGCCTTATTTCAAATGAGACGCTATTTTAAAAAACCATATAAACATGTATATTAGAGACACAAAGAGAGAGAGACCAGATGGAAGGAATATACTTATTTTACAACACACACTAAACTCCTTAGGGATACCTGTGATTGGAAATGTGGTGCACTGCCCAAGTTAAAGCTGATTGTGTTGTATTAGATGTAGCAAATATCTCATGTCGTACTTCTCAGTTATGTTTGCCACCTTAACTTAGATCTGTTTCATCTCATCATCTCTACAACCCTAAATGCTAAGTTGTTCTCTCATTTTCCTTCCATTTTGCTTTTTTAGCATAATTCAAGTATGTGAATTTTCTAGGGAGATGGCATGTGAATAAAGGTGCGAGAGGGGAGGTGTTCATTTCAAACACACTTTAGTAATTTTTGGCCAATAAAGAAATGTCTCTTACCATAAATGATGAAAAAAATTAACAAGAAAAAAAAGAAACATCAATTCTTAAAATAGGATGTATGTGTGATTTTTAAAAAAATATTTAAAGTCCCACCTTTTGACTAGAATTCACTTTGTTTCATAAGTCATTCCCTTTATTAATATCACTATATAAAATATGGTGCTAATAGCATCTGCTGGGTGCTTACAATATGTCAGGCTCTGTTCTAAGGGTGGATGATACATATTAACTCACTGAATCTTTACAACAATCCTATAAAGGAGAGATTATTTTATCATCCCTTCCAATAGATGAGGAAGCTGAGTCTTGCCCAAAGTCAATTGGGTTATAAGTGGTAGAGTCCAGAAGTTACCCCAGACTCTTAACACTAAATGATGCCTCCCTTTAATATAATTTCAACACAACTTATTAACTGTGGCTATGTTAACACCAGCTTCAGGCTATAATATGTTTAGTTAATCTATCTATCTATCTATATATAATCTCTATATATAGTTAATCTATATAACAAGAAGTAGTTTTAACCGCCAACAAATGAAAGTAACAGATGTCTTCCATATTAGCATGTGACTCAGATATGGGTGTGGAAATAAATCATGGCAGTTGCCTGTCTCTGTCTAGATTAATATGGGAGTGAAAGTCATGTGATGCCCTTTCTGTTCAGCAGTGGAGAACAGCCTGGAAAATCTGGGTGTGGTGAAGACCATGGTGGCTATACAGCTCTGCGATAAATATCCAGCCTGCACTGTGTCATCTTTCACCATAAAATCTCTGCTGAGATCTCCAACAGCCAAAATAAGGGGGGAAGCCTTAATCTTTTCTTTCTCTCAGTATAAACCTACATTAACTCTCTTGGCTTTTCCACCTAGAATACTTCCATTTCTTAATTTTACAGGAATCTTTTAATAATGTAGTATAGATCATATGTGCAAAAATCTAGTAAACACATCATGGAAATCGGTTATCTCTTCTAATTTCCCCATACAACACCATTCCCATATTCCCCTTAAGTCCTAAAAGAGTTTGACAAGGTTGTTTTTCATTATCAAAAATCTTCACAATTTCTGATGGGGAGTTTATAAATTTCTGACATGCATTCAGAGAATTGCATTCTTAAAATGGTCTTCTATGGGATTATAATAGCTGTGTCCTGCTTATTGCCTTTAAACAGATTTTAAATTAAACTCTTTCAAACCTTAGCTAGAAGAAATAAATGAAAGGCAGCTTCAAATGAACTAGAATAGCAATTTATTGATCCTAGATATAGACTAGGACATCATGAAGCTTATTAGATTACTTTTGCCTCATAATAAGTTGTAGCATAATTTATATTCTCCCACTGTTAGGTTGACCTTTAGATTGGAACCACTTTGCACTTGGGTAGTCTCTTTGTGAGATCTTAGTCTTTTCTCAGATATTATTCTCTTGTGGGATTGTTCTCTCTAAAGAGCTGTGTAACTTTGGGTGAGCCCCTTGACTCTCAGGGTTTTGATTTTCACATTAGTATAATGAGGAGGCAAGAGTGACTGGCATTTAAGTTTTCTTCTTGCTCTGATGCTCTATGACTTGGAGGAGCCAGAGAAGTTTACATAAAGTTATGTAAATAGGACTCTATATCCGTGGCGTGCTAGTAACAAAGTCTTCAAAAAATTGCACGTATATATGTTATTTTAACACAACATATAAACACACACAATACACTTTTAACTTTAATTTCCATTATTTTCCCCTCATTTCCTGAAGTGTAGGCAATGTAATTACAGAGCAACATTTTTCTGAGTTTTAAAACATAGTAATTTCATTATCATTAAGTCCAAAATATTTTTTAATTTTCACTGCAATTTCCTATTTGACTTATGGGTTATTTAGAAGTCTGTTGCTTAATTTTCTTAAGTTTGAGAATTTTCTAGTGTTGTTTCTATTATCGATTTTTAATTTAATTTCATTCTTGTTAGAGGGCAATCTTTTGAAGTTTGTTGATTTTTTTAAATGACTATACAAATAGTCATATGAAGAGGGTGTATTCTGCAGTTGTTGCATGTAGTATTTATATTATTTCAACTAGGTGAGGCAGGTTTTCTCTATTCCTACTGAGTTTTTGTCTGTTTCATTAGTTACTGAAATAAATATGTTAAAATCTCTCACTTTGTGATTTTTTGGGTCAATTTTTGCTATTTATTAGGTATACTTCCTAATGCTTCTTGTCTTAAAGAATTTATCTAATTCATCTAATTTTTATATACTTTATCTTATACCTGTACAATAAGTCCTCACTTAACATCAGCTGATTCTTGGAAACTGTGACTGAGTAAAACAACATATAATGAAACCAATTTTACCGTTGGCTAATTGATATAAACAAGAGCTAAGTCTCTACAACATATTTCTGGTCAGAAAAATATCAGAGGTCTACATAAAGATGCCAAACATTTCTAATATCAAACACTGAAATAAATGTGAGTTATATATACATTTAATAAAGATTAATAAAAACAAGTAAGATCATTATTTACTCCATTTTTGGTGAATCCGTGAATGATGGCAGTGGTAGTGGTAATAGGTTAAATCAAGGAATAAATGTTTACAAAGTGAAAATTGTAAAAAGCACCTCCTAGCATCATGCAGTTCAAAAACTAACATCACAAATCTGGTAGTCTTGTGGAGCACTTTCATATCACATCATTTATTGTCATGCATTGATATAATTATCCTAGATTTTATAAATTTTTATTTGACAATCATTCGTATTCATTCATTCATTCTCCAACCTGCTTATTCTAGTTCAGGCTTGCAGGTGGCTAGAAGCCTATCCCGGAAACCCAGGGCACAAGGCCGGAACTAGCCCCAGACAGGGTACCATCCCATTTCAGGGCACACTCACACACATACCCACACTAACTCAGACAGTGACCATGTAGATATGACAGTTCATTGAATGTGCACATCTTTGGGATGTGGGAGGAAGCTGGAATACCTGGAGAAAACCCGTGTAGGTATGGGAAGAATGTGCAGACTGCACACACACAGTGGCCCCAGTGGGAACTGATATTTTTTCTTATCAATATTATAAGGAAATGATGTTGAAATGAAATAACATTATTAGAAGACCTGCTATATAGCTACGCTGGCTTTCTTTTTTGTATGATTTATCTGTTCATTTACTTAATTTCAACCTTTCAGTATCTTCATACATAAGGTGTTTATCCAGTTTGACATGTTTTTTAGTTGGAATATTTAGCGCACTAAGACCTAGTATGATTAGTAATATATTTCAGTGTAGATCTACAATCTTATTATTTTTTTCTATATTTCCTACCTTTTTATTTCTTTTCTCTCTCCTTTCTTGTCCTAATTTAAATTAATCAGAATTTTATTTATCTTTTCTTCTCTATCCTGTTAGTTATACATTTTTATTTGTCTTTTAGACTTTAGGGATTAAGAATTCTAATCAAAATTAATAGTTTTACCACTTACTGCTTCTACAATACAATAATTAGTTTCATATTACAGTTGGGAAATCTAAGACTCCAGTACTCAAATTTGAATTTAGCAAGGTCTAACAATAATTCCATGCTCTTTCCACCACTCTTGCCTAATCATTATGGAAGAAACAGAAATCCTTCCCCCAAATGAAGCCCAAATCTACTCAGTTCTACTAATTGAAGCAACAACAAATAAATCAAATCCTCTCTGTATATCAGGCCATCTTAATTGTTTGATGAAACTCTCACATCTCCCCCGAGAATCCTCTTCTTCAGATTCAACATCCCCAGATCATTTTGTTGTTCTTTACATAATAGAATTCCAGATTCTCTACCATCCTAGAGGTGCACTTTTGGAAGCCCAACAAAATTTAGTCAATTTCATTTCTAAGATACACATTTAGAAGGACCCATACTTCACTGTGGTTGTCAATAAGATAAAGGCAAATAGAATGCTCTCTGAGACAGTGACCGTGATAAAAAAGCAAAAAAAAAAAAAAAAAAAAAAAAAAGAAATAATAAAAAAGAAAGAATTGATAAAAAATACCAAATAATAGAGTGGCAAGATTTAACATATATCATATGATTTGGGCACCACTTTTAGCAAGTGAATTCTCTATTTCATCATTTTAGATCTGACAATAAAGTCAAAACTAGCTAAGGGAATTTTCAGATAATGCACAATTAAATATATATTAAATATTTTATATATATAATCAAATGTACATTTGTTTTCCATTTACAAAAGAAAATTCATAACACCATTTACAGTTACAGATAAAGAAAGAGTCTCAGAGAAGCTAAAATATTTGCCATAGTCAGTAAGTCCTAGAATTGAGAGTAGACAGGTTTTTTTCTGACTTCAAGTTCGACTTTTTCTGTTAATCTGTGGTCAAAGATTGGTTTTTCCAGTTAGTAGGTAGGCTCTTATATATCAGTTTTTCCTCTAACTTTTTCTGACATCAGACTTCATGTGCTTGAAATCTTTCACTTCTTAATAGCCAGACTGCCATCAC